AGAATTTAAGGAAATAGCAACTACTAACTCAGTAAAAGTTCTATTTTTCCTTTCAGCCTTACCATTCATTTCTGGAGAATAAGGGGCTGACCTTTCATGTATGATACCATGTGAATTATAAAATTCTACAAAAGCATCAGTATCATACTCAGTTCCACGATCACTTTGTAACCTTTTTATTTTCTTGTTGAATTGATTCTCAAACTCTGTCACAAACAACTTAAACATTTCAAAAGCATCACTTTTATTTTTCATCAAATAAACACAAGTATAAACAGAACAATCATCAATAAAGGTGATAAAATACCGTTATCCATTTCTGGTCAACATTCCATTAAATTCACAAATATCCAAATGAATTAAGTCTAATGGTTCTGAATTTCTAATAACTGACTTATGAGGTGTTTTTGTAATCTTAGCCTGACTACAAAAATCACATTTGTCAAAGTCATTAAGAGAAATATTAGGAATAAGGCCTAAATTGCTCATATTTTTTATGAATCTTTTGTTCACATGACAAAGTCTAGCACCCAACAACACTTTCTTATCATCGGTCTTTTCAGTGTATGTTTTAAACATCCGACGATCATAGCAGACCACTACTAGAAAACACCTTATTTACGACGGAAAAATTCCGTCGGTTTACCCTATAAATCCGTCGGAAAAGGCTGTTTCCGACGGAATTCCGTCGGAACGCGTTGTCGGAGATCACTTCGTCGGGAAAACGGCCAGTTTCGTCTGAAATTCCGTCGGAAAACACTATTCCGACGGAATTTTTTCGTCGGAAGAGGTTTTTCCGGTACCGGAAAGTCCATCGGAAATTTCCGACGGGATTTAAATCCGCTGGAAAATTCCGACGGAAATTCCGTCGAAAAAGTTAAAAGAAAAAAAAAAAAGCGAAACCCACCACCAGCCCACCCCCTGCCCCCACAACCCAGATCCCCACCCACCAGCCCACCCCCTGACTTACCCCCCTACCCACCACCACCAGCCCACCCCACCACACCAGACACCACACCACACCAACCCACCCCCTGACTTACTCTAACTTACCCAGCCACACCTACCCACCCACCACCACCGAAGCCTAACCTAGATTCACCAACCACGCACCACCACCGAAACCACCCACACCAGCCCCTAACCTTGATTCACCGACCACCACCATCGAAACCACCCACACACCACCTCACACACCACCACCGACACCACCTCACCAGAATTTAACCACAAAAAATCAAAAATTAACCCCAAAAAATCACAAATGGGCCCAAAAGTACGGAAATTAACACAATAATATCGAAAAATTCCACACAAAAATCGAAACCACCACCGGAATTTAACAAAAAAGAAAAAAATTCCAAAAAAAACGAAAATTATCATAAAAAAACAACGAAATTACCCAAATTAAATTAATTCAAAGACATATAATTATACAATTATTTAACAAAATTTATACATTAACATTACAATGACATCAATAATTAACTAAAATCAGAATTTAAAAGGAAAAAAAAAAGGCTAGATCTACAATCTAAGAAAATAAAACCGTGTTGTTGCGATGGAGGCTTTTGTTGCGGTGTCGTTGTCCGGTGTTGGTGGTTGTTGTTGACATCGGTACGGTGTTGGCGTTGATCTCGGTGTTGACGATGATCTTGGGTCTTCGTTGATGATTTTCGTTGATGGTGGCTAGGAGATCGAAGAGGAGAGTGAAAGGGGAGAACAGATCGAAGTGCGTGGAGAGTGAAAGATTGGAGAAGAGAAGAATAAGAGAGGAATTTAGACTGAGAAGAGGAGAGAGAAAGGGAGGAGAAGAGAAGAGGAATAGGGAGGAGTAGAGTGAGAAGTCTGGGAGGAAAGAAGAAGAGAGGAGAGAGAAAGGGAAGAGAAGAAGAGAGAGGCGGAATGAGAGTATCCGGATTTTTTAGGGTTTTGTAGGTTCTTTTTTTTAATCATTTAATTAGATTCCGACGGATTTTATTTCCGTCGGAAACTTAACGTTACGTCGAAATATTCCGTTGGAAATCTTCGACGGATTTTATTTTCCGTCGAAACGTTAAGTTTCCGACAGAATTTTCCGTCGGAAAGCCCATAAATTCTAACGGATTTATGTTCCGTAGAAAATTCGTCGTAAATTTCCGACGGAATAAAAATCCGTTGGAATTTACGACGGAAAAACATGTCCGTCGGAAATGGTCCGTCGGAAATAGGCCTATTTCTAGTAGTGGACATGGCGTGTAGCACCAGTGTCTACCCACCACCCATCTGATCCACCAGTAAGGTTGATCTCAGTAATCATAGCCACAATAGGCTCTTCAATCATGCTTGCCTATGCAGGTGCAGGGTTAGGCATGTTCCTGCACTTTCGTCCCATATGGCCTGGTTTTCCACACCTATAGCATAGAAATTGACCAGTACCATTCTTAGGGGGTTGAGATTGTTGCTTTCCATTGTTCTTTTGAACATTCTGTTTATTTTTGTTGAAGTTATTCTTCCGGTTCTAAGGTTTGAAATTCTTACCAGCAGGCTTGAGAACTACAGCAGATCGCTTAGGAGCATTGTTTGTAAGATTTCTTCCTTCTGGTCCTGTTTTCTGGATTCTTCTTCTATACGGAGCCGAGTGATCAAACTCTCTAAGGAGAATTCCTTAGTCTTGTGCCTGAGATTATCTTTGAAATCTTTCCAAGAGGGAGGTAGTTTGTCAATAATAACAGCAATTTGAAATTGTTCATCAAGGGCCATACCTTCGAAAATTATCTCATGGGCAATTTTCTGAAGCTCGTTGGGTTGCACTTCCACGGACTTTTCATCAGTCATCTGAAACTTCAGGTACATACTGACAACATACTTTTTGGCACGTGCTTCTTCAGTATCATATTTATTTTGCAGGGCATCCCACAAATCCTTAGCAGAATTTTCCATATTGTAATAGTCATACAAGTTATCAGATAGACCATTAAGAAATTCATTCCAGGTTTCGATTTCACTGTTCAGATAAACTATTTCATCTTCATCAGCATTTTCAGGAATAACAGGCCTAGGAACAGTCAATACGGAATGAACCTTTTTAACGGTCAAGAAAAACTGCATTTTCTGTTTCCACCTTTTAAAGTGAGCGCCTTCAAAACGGAAGGGCTTGTTAAGGTCATTGGACATAGTCATATCTTTGGTAGACATAATGTTCACGAAGGCAGAACAAAGTGTTCTAAAATTGTTATAAACGAAACTTGCAGGAACAAAAATAATAAGAACAATGTTACCGGGAATAAAGCTGAGTCGCGGACTATGTCGCTTTCTTTAGAACATTCACGGTACTGCCTTTAAATTGTGCAAGTCGATCGAACTACAACCGGATGTTCCCCAGGATAAAACAGCCTCTCAAAAGTATAACGTACCGGTGGATTTGCACAGAACCACCGGGCAACCAAACACCCAAAAATACCAGAAAATTACTGCTCGGATTTTTTTTTTTTCTAAAAGAGGAAGAAAGAATATTATTCGTATTTTTGTTGTGTATGAAAATCGTGAACTAGGAGGTCTTTTATAGCAAAAAATGGCAGCATAACGATACCAATTAGGCCAACCATTAAGTCTGTTCAAGACCAACAATTACCAAAACCGAAAATTAAAATAAAAATCGGCCAAGATTAAATTTACAAAACGGTAAGTAATAAAATCTGGAATCAATTGGTAAACGGTAATCAGTTAGCACAAAATCTGGAATAATAGCATATTAATCGGTTTTTAAAAGGTAGGAAATCAATTACCCAAAATCAAGGCATTAATTACTCAATTAAACCTTGTTCAAAATCTGTATAAAAAATTAAGATTGTTTAATAAACCCGACCCAATTTGGCTTGATGCGCGTGTGAGAAAGGTTGGCTTGGTAGGTAAGTCTTCCCTCTCTACAAAATGTGGGTTGCCCTAGGGCTACACCCAAGTACTCCACTCCATACATTATAAAGGAGGAAAAACTCTCGTTTCCCACCAATGTGGGACTTTTGTGATTTTCACAAAATTCACACCCATACACACTTTGTTCCAACCTCATTTTTGAGAAACAGTGGCTCCAAATGTTTAGCGTAGTTGCCTCAACACTGAAGAAAGATAGAAAATCGGAACTATACATCGGTCTGTGCCTGAAACATTCAATTTCAAACTACTATAATATTCAAGGTAAGGGATGGAAAACCATGTAGGGGATTCAGGCTTGAACACAAACTTCGTTCTTGCATGAAACTCACTATTACTAATTTCTTGATACTTGAACATACAGTTGAAATGCATGAATGTGGCATAAATTTGACATCTTTGCTTTTTAGTCAAAATAAGATATGGAAAGCTTGTGTGCAAAACTGATATAGAATATATCAATTCTCGCAGGATATTCTTCCATTATATATGCATGACCATGAATAACCCCATTAAGGGGAAGGGGTTGGGTGGTTATGGGGGAAGGGAAATGCGCCAGGGAGATAGTTGGGTGGTTACCAAATTTTTATTTTTGTTTTATTTTATTTTATTTTATTTTTAAAATCAGAAATTAAAATTTAATCAAAAATTAAGAATTTGACTCGGTCAGCGTTTTTAGTGTATTTTTTTTTAAATCAGAAATTAAGAATTTAAAAATAAAAAAATTTGCACTAAAATCGCTAACTGAGTCAGCTTTTTTTAGTGTAATTTCTTTTTTTTTTTAAATTTAAAATCAGAAATTACGAAATTAAAAAAAAAAGTCAACATGTAAAACGCTGACTGAACATTGATTTTTTTTTTTTCCTTCAAAAAATCAGGGATAAAACACTGTCCGACACAGCGCTTTACCCTGAAAACATAATTTGGTAAATAGTTTGACCACGCGTCTTTTTTGGTAATTAGTTTGTGAAATTCGACTTAGTTTGGAAAATTGTCCGTCATTTTCCCTAGTACAAATCACTCCAAAACAAACCTCCTCCTGTGCTAAATATTCTCACCCATATAATATAAAAAATACATTTATTTATATAATAAATAACAAAATAACAACAAAGCCCAACCTAAATACTCCGTAATATTCGCTGCCCAAGTTATTATCATCATTTTCATAGTCACCGCTTTCACTAACATTCACCGTCTCTGGAATATCAATGGCGGAAGCAGTCTGCCCTGCGCATTGCGCAGCATGGGCGCGCGACTACATTGGGTATTGCTTATGCACTACCAGTGACGCCGTCTCTTTATCCCTTGGTTTGGCTAGTGTTATTAGTTGGGGTGTTGCCGAAATCCCTCAAATTATCACCAATTTTAAGACTAAATCTACCGAAGGCCTTTCCTTTGCTTTCTTGCTTACTTGGATTATTGGGTATTTTTTTTCTCCTTCTTTCTGTTCATAATTGTATTTGTTATGAGTATTATCATATGCTTGTGAATAATGTGTGAATGGTTAGTATTTTTCGTTAAAATAAACCGAGCCTTAATTTTACTCTTTCTTTTTTTTATAATATAAATTAACACTTATTATGTGTCAAATTTGTTTAAACATAGTAACTTTATTTCTAACGTCTTGAGTCGAGTCGAATTCGAGTCGAGCTAACTCGAGTCGAGTTTTGACCGAGTCGAGTGCGAGTTGCTCGCGAGCTACTCAACTCAATTAGCACTCCTATCTGGAACATTGTTGAGTAATTTGATATGAATGTATTTGATAAGTTACTGTGGGTTGAGACTTGAAAGTGACTTTTATTTATAAATTTGGCATCTTTTAATAACTTAATGGTCAATTATTGTACGGGACGTCGTTGTTATTGTTTGGTATTGCTACCTGTTAATAATGGGTGAGTAATTTTTTTTTTTTAATTTTCATTTTTATTATGTATTTTCTGGGGAATTATTCTGTATGCGGCGGACTTTTAATACTCTTTCGGAGTTTCAGTTCCTAAAAGTTTGCCCCATTCACACTTTTCGTTGTAATAGGAATTTAGGTAGATTTTGTTTTTATTATGAGGTATTTTTAATAAATACTAAGTAAAGTAGAAAGGGATTGTAGGGACTAAATGAGTTGGATCAATCTTTTAATTAAAGGCGGCTCGAAAAGGGAAATGGGTAAATCTTTAAGAGAAGGAGAGAGTAACTTATTATAGTCAATTATTGTAAGTCGGCCTTGCCTAAGAATTAGGTAATCAGGTTTAGGACCTATGTACTTTCATTGTTAGATGATAATAATAATAAGTGTTTTCTCTTTTTTGAGATTGTTTGGGTATTGCTTTATTCTTTCAGCCCATAATTCATGTATTTGCATGTGGTAAAAGTCACTAAGCTTTGTCACAATGCTGGAGTAAAGATCAGGTTTTGTCTTATATATATGTAGTACCCGGGTTGTGTACTTTAAAGATAAGATTGGTGGTACCCTGATACAATTATGAATAATATCAACATCTTTTTGAAAAGTGTTAATGGCAGCTGTTACAAATTTTAGTGTTTAGCTGTTTATCATTTTAGCTAGACTGTCTAGCAATTAAGGTAACCATGAAAGTTTTGATAAGCTTACTTAAGTAGGAAGGTTAATGTTCCTCTGCATATTGCAATGACAGGACTATCAAGAAGGGAAAATTAGGATTCTTTTAAGATGGTTTTAATTTAGCTCACTTTTTCTTGTTATTTTTTAATTTCGAAAAATTGATAGGGGCCTTTATTCTGTGTGAACAACATTTGGAATGTATTATAGAGGAAATTTTATTTACTAGATTTAGTCATCAAAAGGCCCACAAGTGACCTAAAGCTGCTCTAAAAAAAACTAACTCTGTTCTCTAAAGGCTTTTCTAGTACTCCGTATAAGTTTGACTATTAATAGCTCAAATAATGTATTTGTATAAGTTATATAAAGGTTATAATCCAAAATTACATATTGAGAAAAATCTAACAAGACTTTGCGTGAATATGTTTTTTTGTATGTATGAACTACAAATGATGGTTAAGGTGGAGTTTGTGAAAAGATATGGGCCCCACTATTTCTCACATTCTATAAATAAAATACATACCTCCTATTACATCTATTTTTTATTTTATTTTATTTTTATTAATAAAATAATGTGAAGTATTTTACTATCTCTTCTTATGTCTATTAAAAAAATATTCCATTTTCCTTTTACGTCTATTTTTCATATGAAATAATATTGCACTATCGCCTTTTACCTCTATTTTTCTAATCTAATAATAATTGATAACCAAATAACTAATTATCTACAGTAGTACTTGCCATGATAAGTGCTAAAAAATTGGACAGAGGGAGTAACAATATCCCATATTATAATCATGTTTCTTGTAAATTAGCAAAGGATGTGGTCATAAATGATAAACTTTGACCTTGAAAAGTCAAATGGATCAACTAATTTGAAACGGAGTAAGTGTTAACCAGAATAAACGTACCCGTGTGGTGGGGTAGCCGAGGGTAAAAGAGAAATTTTCTTTGCAAAAGTAGACCAAAGCAAAGAAGTAAGACCACTGAGGATTGGACACAAATGAAAAAAGTGGGAAGGTCTTTGAATAATTAAAGGACTATTCAATCAATGTCTTGCTTAAGCAGTTAAGCCACCTCTCATTTTTATTCCTAATCAATTTCCTTAATCCTTATATGTATTTATCTTCTCAAATGGGAGAAAGGACCTGAGAATCAAAGCTATGGTCCTCTGGTATCTGAAGCTCACTGTGTTCTCAACACAACAATCAAGATTGGCTACTCTCATTTGTAGCTTAGAAATTATCTTAGTATAATTGATTGTATCATATGCAACTCCATAGAGTTTCAGCAAATCAGCAAGGTATAGGTAGACTCTTATCTTACTGTGTCTAAGCCTCTAAGGTGTAAACGCAACGTGCTTAATGGGTTAGTGTCTGGATGTTGCTTAAATTTTTCAATTTGAGTATGGATATGTTAGTACCAAAGATGAAAGAAGTTACAAATAATATTGTCTTGTAGTAACTCAGATCATTTTGTGACTTGTGCATTCTAAAATCAGACATAAACTAAGTATTTATTATGAGACTTTTAAGTATTAATTGGTCTTTTTGTTTTTTAAGGAAGTATTAAGTGGTCTTTTTTTTTCTTTTTCTTTTTTTTTTTTTTTTTTTTTTTGAGGGAATTATTAAGTGGTCTTTTATCCAAGAGATGTGGCTTTATTTGTTTTAATTTTTTTTATGTGATTGTAGGAGTTATGGTTACTGATAATCTCTGTAACCCTGGATCATAATATCTTGTGGTCTTACCTGGACATGTTTCACTTATCCGTCTGCACTCAGTCTTACTTTTTGTTACCCTTTTTATAATTGCAGGGACTTTTTCAACATGTTTGGCTGCTTGCTAGAACCAGCTACTGTAAGTTTCTCTGTTACAATTTTCATTGCTAATTATTCTGTAGTTCCTCCTTTGGCATACATTATGCAGATTTATTTATTAAAATTTTTAAGTCCCATCTATGATTTTTGCTCACAAAGAACTTCAAATGGATGTATCTGTTTCTTGTTGATCTTTGGCATCTCAAGTTGTAATTCTACATACTGAGCTGTAAAAGGAAAAAAAAGGGAAACTAGCTACCTCAGTTCATTGTTAGCCATGACCATTTTTAGGCATTTGCTTCATGCTCCTGGAGGCAAGTAAACAAGGTTGTTCCCTTGATGCAAACCTCTCATAAACTGATCCCTTTCTTGGTTGAGCCTAACCAGTTTTACATAGTTTGCTCTCTCCCACCCCCCCCCCTCTCTAAAAAAACCCCTGGACTTACCAACCTTATTTAACAACTTAGGTAGTGATTGCAAACCCGTACGTGAATTAGGTAACCCTGTACCTTACTATTGTTTAGTTGCTTGATTCTCTTCCTATCTCTCTCCCTTTCACGTCCTTGTATTCAATCTTTATAAATAATGTGGATCAAATGGCTGTGTAGTCTATACCTTTGTGCAATTATGGGCGTTGTACTAATTTGAATCTGAACTACAATTCAGATCAAGTGATTATTGTGTTTCTTATATCCAAAGACTACCCCCTCCCTCCATTTTCTATCTTGTAATATTTTTCTTGAAGGTCTTTGTCTTTAAAGCTCTCATAATTCCCTTCATCCCCCCCCCCCAAATTCTTTCCAAATCCTTAATTTTAGACTTTTGCTAATGCAAGCCAAAACCAAAGCACATGGTACTAGCACAAACACGTAAATACAAATAAACAACTCTAAAAGAATACTAGGATTTAAAATCTGAAATCTGAAAGTATACTGTTTTTTAATCTATTTTTATTTTTCGGCTATTTCATAAAATGCCACCGAGTACTTAAAAAATTCACCAAATGCCATCGTGTTTTTCAGAATTCACCAAATGCCACTGAGGTTTAGTATAATATCACCAAATGCCATTTTCGTTAGTTGACTGTCAGTGTCCGTTAGTTGACCCCACCACTTGCCACGTGTCACCTTCTGATTGGTCCGTTTTTAAACAAAAAAAATAATTAAACAAAAATAAAAAAATAAATTTAAAAAAAAAACAAAATAAAAAAAAAACCCCAAACCCCTTCCCTTCCCCTCCCATTCCGATTTCCGGCCTCCCCACCCACACAACCCTCACCCTCAAAATCGACCACCCCACCCACGACTTTTTCATCGGAGATGGCCAAGGAAGCGGATTCAACTGGTGGCGAGATCATGCTTTTCGGTGTTCGTGTTGTCGTTGATTCCTTGAGGAAGAGTGTTTCGTTGAATAATCTCTCTCAGTATGAACATTGCCTTGATTCTTCTTCTTCAAACGACGTCGCTCCTCCTCCTCCTGCTGGTGGTGTTAGCCGTGAACGGAAACGAGGTATGAGAGAGATAGTCGGCGTCGCGTATTGAAGTTGTTTTTTTGTTTGTTTTATTGATTAATTTAGGATTTGTTGTTGACTGAAAAATTGATTGATTGTGATTGTGATTGATTAGGAGTTCCATGGACTGAAGATGAACACAAGCTGTTTTTACTTGGATTGAATAAGGTTGGTAAAGGTGAATCGAAAAGGGATGGGGAAGGGGGTTTTGGGTGGGGTGGCCGGAATCGGAAACTGACGGGAAGGGGATGGGTTTTGGGTAGGCTGGCCGGAAATCGGAAGGGGAGGGGAAGGGAAGGGGTTTGGGCTGGTGGCTGGGGTTTGGGTTTTTTTTTTATTTTTTATTATTTATTATTTTTTTTAATTTTTTTAAATATTTTTGGTTTTTTATTTTTTAATTATTTTTTTTAAAAACGGACCAATCAGAAGATGACACGTGGCAAGTGGTGGGGTCAACTAACGGACACTGACGGTCAACTAACGAAAATGGCATTTGGTGATATTGTGCTAAACCTAAGTGGCATTTGGTGAATTCTGAAAAACGCGATGGCATTTGGTGAATTTTTTAAGTACTCAGTGGCATTTTATGAAATAGCCGTTAATTTTTTATGGTTATTAGAATGGAGGCAATTTTTTTTTTATTCCATTCTCCAAGGTTGCTCCTCACGATGGCCTATCAATGGCCTCTTAATCTTCTTTTGACGATGCAAACTCATTGCACATCTATCAATGACACAAATTCCTTTCCAATCGGACAGTTTAAGTCCTTTGAGACCATTTTATAGTAACTTTAATAAGTTTAGTCAACTGTGATAAGTGATAACCATAGCTTAACTGCTCCAATCAATATGTAGTGTGTATTTGCCATCTGGACTCTAGGTCATTAGAATTCTAAACAGAATTTGATGTTGGACATGCATATTGCACTGAGCTTTTCCAGCTAGACACCTTGTGAAAGCTTTGTAGTTAAAGCCATTGAATATATGCATGTGAGACTTGGCTGCTTGCAGATTTAACTTGTTGACCTTAGAGCCTAGGTTTATCACTCATCAAATTCAGATCTTGTATTTTTGAATGTCAGAGAAAACTCCCTGTTGGATAGTTTCTATTAAAGCTTGATTATTTTTTTTTCTTGGTCAGAGTTTTTAAATCAAGAAGAAGTTCTGCTTCTGATTGGAATTCTTAGATTTCCATATTGATGACCATTTATCTTTGAAATGCTTCACAGAACTGACTGTAGACCTAGTGCTTCCCTTACTACACTTTTTTGTAGCGAGTCCTATGAAGTCTGGCTTATGTGTTTTTGGTCTTATTCCAAATCTTCGAACACCTAAGGTGTAGAGTTACTGTATTTTCCTAGAAACTAAACACTAATTTATCCTTCTAAAATCATGCAGACAAATCCATATATTCCTAGTAGTTTGAATAAGAACCACTGTTTGTTCTGACCAAGTCCTGAAAAAGGTGTTTGAGACTTAGACTTTTTACAAACTGTAAGGTATTAAAGTAACTCTGGTAGTGTGCCCCTTATCCTGAAAGTCAGTAACCTTTTGAAAATATTGTAAACTTCATCATCAGAAATAGATCTCTGGGTTTCCTCCTTGCTCTTTCTCAATGAAAATTGTAGAGAATTGGTTTTTTACAATGCAAAGAGGATATTAATATTTTATGCTCCACCATTTCCTTCAATCCTCTATATCTTCCAAAATTATTTCTGATAGAAGATGAGCATGGATTTATTCGTGCACCATGGACTAAGGTACACGCTCCTGCACCATGCTTTTTGAGTTCAAGGGTTTATACTCTTGAGCAGCTTAAAGCTCAAAGCTAAAAGCTAGGCTTTCTCACTTTGTTAGAAAGTATCCATTGAGTTGGGAATATGAAACTTAGGAGTTTAGCTACAAGTTCAAGGCTTCAAGCTAAAACATCTTTAGGTAGTCAAGTCAGCTTTCCAGATATAGTGTGACTATACATATGGTATTCATCAGACCCTTTTTTGTAAAAAGGAATTTTCATACCTTTCCATTTTTAGATGTTAATTGAAATTCCAGCTGTTAAGGATGAGAAAATTTCCTTTCCATGGACTTTGTTATCCTTGACACCTATCCTTCTTTATTTGAGCTCAATTGTAAATAAAGTCTTGTTCAGATGTGGCCAATGTAGCATAGTAATTAAACACTTTATCTCCTTTCTCCTCCCAATGGTTATCTTATGTAGATGAAAGGGTTTAGAGAATTTGAGCTTGAGTTGTTGGGAGGTTTGAGAATAACTTACATTCATAATCCATTGGTCCGATTCAGATATCATTGCTTGCTGTTTAATTGTTCTAATGTTTTATGCTTCTTGAATTTAAGTTCCTGATCTTGTTGAATATATCTTAGTTGACTGATAGTTCACTTGTCTTTGTGCAGCTTCCTACACAATTTTATATGGCCTTGGTAAGAAAGTGTCCATATATGGAGTAATCTATGTCTTTCTGCTTTGTACTGTTGACTTCACTCAGCAATATTATTTTTTCTTGCAGCTGTACACTGTGACTACCTTGACTCTTACATTGCAGTCTGTATATTATGGTCACATCTATCATCGATTAAAAAGTAAAAGACAATGCAACAAGGTTTGTACTTTTGCATCCTGTGTATTTGCTTATGTTTGTACTAATCAAGAAATATCTCTGGGTTTGTGAACTTTACAGATTGTTGAAAGGGTATACAACTATGTTAAACATGATTTGTGCTAGAGAAGTTTGTCTTTTGGGAAAATTTATGTGTCTTTGTAATCTAATGATTCTTCTTGATACGGCTTTCAAGTTGAGAGTTGATAGAGGATTTGTTGGATCAAACAACATTGCTTAGTGATCTCTTTTGTTAGCTAACATCACCACTACTATGTTGTTATAACCTTGTAAATTACTACTACAGACTAAGTTTGTCTTTTTGTTACTTCAACTCATCTTTGTAAAAACTCCCAGCGTCCCTAAAAGTAGTTAGGTTTAGATAAGGGCCAGGTTTATATAAAATTATATAAATGAACAATGACTTATATTTTATTTTTTTTACTGATGTCCAGGATGTGATGCCTCATCAGGTAGAAGTGGGAGGAGAGTATAATGTACATCAAAACGGTGGTGTTGAGAAACAAAATGGAAATTATGGCCACACACCAATATCCAGTGCAAATCAGAGTGGTGCTACAATGAGTTCACCTATTCCACTTCCTGGCATTCCACGTAGTCATTCTGCAGGACAAGATTCCTTTTACACGTAATCTGTTTATCTACTTTTTGAAGGTGTTTCTATGCTTTATTATTCTTTTAGCCTAATCTAAAAATTTTGACCTTCCAAATTATTCCAAATTCCAAAATCTTAGTACCTTGCTAGTCTTTGAGCATGTGTCATAAGTTTTGTTTCATTTGTTGAAGATAGGACTAGGTTTTTTTTTTACCTAGAGAAAGGGTTTTCTTTTCTTTTTTCTTTTTTTTTTTTCTTTTTTTTTTCCCACCACATTATTCTCTGTAAATATCCTTGGTGTTTGCAGTTTGGATATCAGCATTTTATAGTTATCTTACCTTTGTGCTAGTCAAATGTCTCATTCGAAGTTCTGACCTTGCTGTTTGATGAATATACCGACCTATCTCTCGATAAATATGTTGACAACATTTAGTAGATACACTAGGGAACTAACTTCTAGCCTTCATATGTATGGTTTAATCTAATTCACAGTTGCTTTCTTTGTTTTTGTTGCTGTTTGTCAATCTGCTTGTAGCCTCATATGCCATGGGTTTCGGTATTTGTTAGGCTTGTACACATTATTTTTTATTTTTTTTTTTATAATCTTTCTTCTATTTCTCTTGTAATTTTGAGTTATTAAATGTGTTAGTCGTGACAATTTGTACTGAATATGTCGCTCGCCTTTCCATTATGATATATGTTATGGAAGTTTTCAAGTTATAATTGTTGATCTTTTGTTGTTTGTATTAGTATATCTGTTGATGTTAGTTTTCAGTTACTTATTATCATGAAAACCATTTACGAAAATAGTAGTCGTGTACTTTTATTCTGGCAATAGATATTATGTGTAACCGTGGTATAGTTGGAAAAGTTGGTGCCACCAAATGCACTTTTTGAAGTTTAAATGTTCTAAATGGTTCAATTTTATCTATTTAGGTCAGCAAGATCTTTGTCGACAAGCCATACTCCAACAAGGAGGTCTTTTGCTGCACCATGGAGACCCTCTACCACAGTGGATGTTGAGGATCCTATTGAAGAGCCTTTGCTTGGTGGATCCTTGCCAACTAGGCTGATGCATCCGTCAAAACCGAAAAACCTTTTGTGTATTGTGAGCTTCAATCCTGCAACCTTGTTTTCTGTTAAGAACTACTCATGATTTTGTTGGGCTGCATGTCATTTAATTTTTCCACTCAGGTGCCTGCTATAATTTTCATCGTTGGAACCCTGAATTTTACCCGTAGAGACACAAGGCTGAGTTTGGCTGTTGAACTACCAAACAGAAAGCTTTTGCAGGTAATATAGCATACTTCTATATGTATCTTACTGAATTTTATAATTTGTTTTTGGTGTGGACTTTCAGTGATAGATTTGACATCTCCAGTTCAAATATGTGTTCATCAGTGATCCTTTAGTTTACTGCTGGCCTTTATATGTCTTACTTTCTCTTGCTGCTAAAGGCAGCTATATCAATTTTGGAGCTATGCATTTCAAAGCTAATACACAACAGGCATCAAAAAGCAAGGGTTGGCAGATAAATTGAGCTAGTCTCACTTAGATATGGACAAGTTCTTTGTATTTTTTGTCAGCTTTTGCATCTACATTCTTGGTTCTAGAAGCTAATGTAATGTGTGGTAGTGTAGAGCAATAAAACAATTCTGAAAAGAGAGAAAAGCTATGATCAACACAACGCATTTGGTCCTGCTGAAGTTTTCTTATCTTGAAAAATACTAGGATAAATGACTGAAAATATCTTTGATTTTGTGGAGTCAACTCGTGGAATACTGAAATCGACTAATATGCTAATTTCGTGAATTCCCCAAATCAGAACTTATTATAGCAAATTGGAATTTCTGTAACAGTTTGAGTTTGATGGAGGGACACGCCGGACAAATTCAGTGTGACTGACTTGAATGCTAATGAAATTTCAGGTCAATGGTCAGCAGAAGATCACATCAGGTGTTGGTGAGGGAATAGGCACATACATGGGTTGGGCTATGGCAGTTATTTACATGGGTGGACGGCTTCCGCAAATTTGCCTAAATGTAAGATTTACTCACTGAAGTTCTGCATGCTTTTTATGTTTATGAATATAAGAAAAACTCCTTACTAACAATATTTAAGTACATCCTCCGTTTTTTAATAGTTGCAACACGCTTTTTCATGGTCTTTATAAAAAGTGGGCTTTACATGACTTTAACACACTTTAAGGGCTGAGTGATTGTTAGGAGTATAATTAAGTGGGTTAGCTTTAAATAAGGTTAATAGTGGAACTTTCTCCAAATAAGCTTTTCAATTATAGTGTGTTTAAAATTTTGTGACATTTTCATTTAGGGAAGTGTTGCAAGTATTAACAAACGTAGGAAGTACATGCTAAACAGTAGGAGTGAATCACAGTTCTATATTTTACTTCTCTTTATTGAACTTGGTTGAACAAAAGTGCACATCGACCATGCTACATATCAGATTATGAATATCCATAAGAAGTGACGATGAACATCCAAATGCCTAGATAATGGATTAGGAATCAACTTCCTGTTCTCCATATTAAAAATCGATCAACAAACTTCGCTGTGAAGATTTCTTGTTTCTATCCATCTAAATAAAACATATGGATAGCAAGAAAAGCAGCTGACTACAAGATCTTCTGCTCCTTATCCTTCTCAAGCCCAAAACAAGCAATATTAAAGGTGATCTGATTATAAGCTTGGCAGTATTCCACTTTCCATATCTTAGAATATCTATGCTAAAGACATATGACTAGCTCACAATGCTTAAACTATTGCTACCTATTTCTTCATTTTTACAAAATACTGTGTGTACACATATGAGGCATGAGATACCTCCATTTTTCATTCAGATGTTGCAGTTTGCTGCTGCTTCTAAGTTTATCTTATCTGCTGTCCAAGAAAAGCCTCCTCCCTCTTTGGACATTTAGAGTTATATAAAAGTTAGAAGCAGGAAAAATGATTTGTCTTGGTATCTATTTTTGCCTGTTTGTTGTAAGGATTCTTAACAACCTTACCCTTCCGTTAAAATATCCAAAGATACAATTCTAAACATTAAATAAGTATATAAACTTTTTTGGCATTGCAGCTTCTAGAAAACAAAGATAAACTATTTAAACAAGAAATACTTTAATGTCAGCAATTATTTTATGGATTGAGAAAGGTTTCCTTGCCTAAGACTCTTCTTAGAGTTTAGTGTCTTCCTGTGTCCCTGGTCGATCTAATACTTGATTACTGAAGGAAGAGGTGTGGTACACAATGAATAGAAGTACAGACTCGTGTTAGAAGCATTATATATTATCAGTCAAGCATGGAAACCACACGTTTTAAGGCCATACCACTGTTTAATAATTTTATACAAAAGGAATTTAAGTACTTGAACCAACTTATGTTTACCTACCAAGGAGATGTCCTTCAACATTGGATAGCCTGTAAGCAAGGTCCATCTTCTTAGAGCCTTAGTCCTTATGCCAATTATCAACCAGAACAATCTTTAAGTCTACAAGTAGATGCCACATTGTCAAGTGATCTCTCTTGTTTTACATATTTCAAATAGTAAATAGTTGCTATGTATGCATTCAAGCTTCTTACGTCTGCCCCTCTGCATTATGGACTCTGATGTGCTATTATGTGGAGAATTGGAGATGTTCATCTTTTGATCTTAGTACATGGTACCTGTACAACTAGGCATACTAAGTGTTTTTCCTCATAGCTAGCAAGTATTATATTAGTCTTGTAATATCTCAATAGATGATATCCACTTGTGCCAGGATTAAGTATATTTACTCTCTTGCCGTCTGCTGCTCCTGTTTTTGGATTAATGCAGGACTGGGTATTTTGGTTTTCTTACTCTAATCCTGCATCATTTACTTTAAAATAAAAACCCATCCCTAGTATTAAAAAAGTGTGTATAAAAAAAAATTTACATTCTCCCTAGCATCAATTTGTTTTGTCAATCTCATCATAAAGAATTTTTTTGAAATTATGTTTATGTTAATATCAATTCTGACAGGGATGATAGATTACTCTTTATTTAAACAATTTTTCATTCTCTAATTTTCTCCTTGTATATATTATTACTCAGTTTTTAATAGGAGAAATTATAGTAACAAAAGATTATTATTCTATGAAGGAAAAAAAAGTGATGTTAAATTTGTTTACTAGAGAAAAGTTCGCGTTGAAATAGAATAAATATATGTGTAAGAAATTTACCTGAAGAGGCTAGAAGAGTTTTTTTTTTTTTTTTTCTCTTCCCTATTTTTAAATATGACTAACGGAGTTAATCGTGTGCTATAATATTGAACATTAATATAAGGTTTTTTAGGAGCAAAGTGCAATTAGTTTTTTTACTTTGATTTTTTAAATGAAATAAGACTAAACAAATTACTATTCTTGTTTGATTTACCAAACTAGGGGGATCATAATGAAACAAAGTTTAAAAGCTCAGAGCACCAAAGTGGAATTAGTGAAACCATGGGGGACCAAAGTGAAATTATGTCAAATCTTAGGCACTGGAGTGGAAATTTTCCTTCTTTACTGCTTCTTGTGCGATAACCACTAGAATAAGAATTTGTATAACAAGGCTACTGCTCCTCATTCCCAAAACCAGCTTCTTTTGTTAGTATATATTTGGGGCCCGAATTTAGAATGTCAAAAGTCATTAATCTATGTACACCTTGTGATAAAGATACAATTACATTTTCATTGTATGTTTTAATCCTTTTGCACCAATCAAGTTATCTTCATCTTCAAAATTTGCAACTTGTGAGTTTTTACTATTAATCAAATACTGATATATTTTTCAATTTTACAGTTTAAAAGGGGCCATGTTGAGGTAAGTACACTGTACAGAGTTTACTTGTATTAATTCAGGTCTGGACAAACTGATAACCAATATTGAGCCATTTGAGTACTTTGTTGGATACAGGGGCTCAATCCACTGATGTTCATGTTCGCATTGTTAGGAAATACAACTTATGTGGCCAGGTATTTCTGATAAATACTGAGTTTTTATTTGTTCATTGTTAAATTATTAAAAGAATTTTTTTCCTTTCTCTTTTGTTAGTTCCTACCAAGTTATTTAGAGACCTGATGATCTACTCCCTCTGTTTTTATATGTTTGTCCCATTTGGTATCTACACAGTTTTCAATGCAACTTTGTAATTAAAATATCTCTAGCTACACATTACAAAAAAACAATAAAAATTGCATATTTAAAATCTAAAATTCCAGCCGAATCCAACAAGATCTCACATAACTATGTTCTGAAATATATAAAAAAACCATTAAATTACTAGATTCCATTTCCATTAGAATATCTCAAGATTTCAAATGAGACAAACAAAAGAAAACGAAGGGAGTAGTTTACTCCAACTTTTCTAAATGTTTACCTATTATTTTTGGTAGGATCGTATGAAACATAGGTCAGCTATGTAACTGGATGGTTTGAGTAAAAGAGGGATGGATAAAAGATTGTTGACACATTTGGCTACTTTTCTTGTTGAAATTTAGTTGCTAAGTCATGTAACATTTCTAGTTATCTCTCTCAACTTCTGCTTAACCCTTCATCCTTCCTAATCACTAATTCGCTGCCTATGATTACAATTAGTAAAATGCTCAACCTAGTCATCTATTTCCTTTTATTTTTGACATTCTATTATGGTCTTGAAGAGAGGGGGGGGGGGGGCAGTAATTTTTCCTTCACCATTATGCTTGTAGCAAGCGACTCAATTTTTTTATGTTACGTGTGCTTGTAAAAACTTTTCGCATAGTCATGGTACTGTTGCACTTCTTAAAAGCATGTTACAATTTAAATACTAATGGAAAAAATCTTGTTTGAATTAGAATTGTAGATAATGGAATGCTCATATGCTATGAACATGATATGGGAGCAGCCACCAGCTATGCTCATACTGCTTTGGACATTCCAGCTCCTACTAGCTAGGCTGAAATCTTGTACCAGTTTGTAAAATAACATCATTTAACAAAAAAAGCATAAATTATGTTATATGGGAAACAAATGTCTTCTGTACTCTGTGAACTAACCATTATATTTCGTCCACATTAAGCAGAAATTATAAGCTAATAATCTTTTCATGGTCAAAGGATGAAGACATAGTAAAGCCCTTCTAAGAATCCTTTAACATCGGGTCAATGTACATAGTGACAGTTTTGCTTCTTATTAGGTCTTGTGATTGAAAATTAACAATTCTATTAGGCTTCCTACTACCCTAATGCTGATGGATACCTTTTCAACATAATATATGACATTAACTGAAGGCACAAAGGTATTTTTTTTCCAGAAAATTCCTGTTAATGTTTGGTTCTAAGTGCAAGGAGTTGTATAAGGTGAATTCCTCTGTGAAAAGTTGTATAAGATTGTGGGCTATGCTTTTATATATATATATATATATATATATATATATATATTATATTTTTTTTATATATATATATATATATATATATATATATAGTATGCATTTCTTTGCTTTCTGTGAATAAAAGAATGTATAATATTTTGTCATTTTTCTACTTATTTTCATAAGATAACTCTAGAGGGGGATTATTTATTTTCTTTATTGTTAACAACTCAGACTCTAGCTGATGTTTAATGTTTATCATGCAGCATACTAGTTAATAGCTTGGATTGGTCGAAGATTTTCCCAAACCTTCCATGGCTGGTTGATGCAGGAGGCTGTGCACTTCTTGACACATTTGTATCCTTAATTATCATATATGGTGTTTCTTTGCCTAGAGTTACTATATTCAATAGAAAATCTAGAAGATCAATATATTTATTTTTTTTAAAAAAAACCCTTAGACATTCGAAATATTTTTGCAGATTCACTCCTTCCTATCTTGAAAATCAATAATTTCACATTTCTACATTTGTTTTCAATTTGGTAAATGTTTGCATTTATGTGCCTGGGTTCTGGGCAGTTGGCCTAAGTCAAAATTTAAAATGGAAGGAAGAATGTATGGCATATATAATACTTATCTGCTTATGTTTGATGCGGTTGTATTTGTGTCCTGAATTACAAGGCATTGTTGGGTCCTTAATCTCTTTGATTAGATACTACTTCAGTTTGTATATTTTCTACGTCAGCGATCATATCATCGTGGGACCAAGCAAAGCACAGAGACACACATTCTACATTAAGTTAGAACTTTACTTTCTCAGGTAGTTCTTTCCTTATTTTCTCTGCCTTCATATAGTATCAATGCCATGCTAGATCATTTTGACCCCGGCATTTTGAACATATTCATTGAATGTATATGCTGATCTTGAAGATTCTAGTTACATTTTTTTATTTGTTTTAATAGGCAAAATTGGGATTTAGCTTCTTTACATAGTTTTATCACATTTTCCCACTTTTGGTCTTGTTTAGTCTTATCTTGATACTAGTATAATTTTGTGGAATACAATTTAGCACGAAACCTAAAATATATCTATGAGAATAATTGGTTACTTGACGCTAACGAATCAATTATAAGTATAGATTTTCAAAAAGGCATAATTCTTTAATATCATTTTTGATACTGTACATAATGTTGTAGGAAACTACCTTATAAAAATCGATATTTGTGAAAAACTACCATAGATAAAAAAAACATAAAGCATAAATTGTTGTAAAAAAGTACCTTTTGCCGGTTTCCGGGAGTTTGACTATTGCCAGCATTGACTTTTCATTTTTTAATATTTTTTTCCCTCCTTTTTCTCTCCATATTCACCCAAATTTTATCTTCCTCATAATTTTTTCCTTCTCTCTTCTCAAGGCCCTTATACCAAAACCCAATTTTCTCTCCCCTCTTCTTGAAGAAGACCCAACCAAAAAAAGAACCCAAATTGGTGAATTGGACTCTGGATTTTACTTTATACTAATTGTTTTGCAAACTCTTTTGAGAATATTGCTCATTTGTTACAAGTGAGATAAGAAATGCAAATTCTTCAAGGTTTTGATGTTGTTGTTTGCCATAGATGATGCTTTGTTTTTTAGCATGTAACTAATGTGAGAGGAGGAAAGAGAAAGAAGCTAAGTGAATGTTTTGCAGGGACTAAGGAGAGGCATTTGCCAATTTTTTTGAAGGGGAAGAGTTAGAATAGAAGGTGGCGAGTTAGCGCCTATCAATTACTCGTAGTAATCATCAACTCCCAAACATTGGAGGGAAAAAGGAAGGAAAAAAAGAAAAAAAAAAAAAGTCAACGTCGGTAAATAGTCAAACTCCCAGAACCTGGCAAAAGGTACAATTTTACAACATTTAATGCTTCGTAAGGTAGTGTTTTACACCATTTTCTATACAAGGCTATACCACTTATATCTGAATAGTAACTATTGATGTAGTTTTTTAGGCACAGTTTGATGACGAGAGGTTAGCTATTAGTTACTCACATGAGCTGGTTTTACTAGCTACTTGTATTAGTTATATCTATTAGCTACTCAACCTCCCTTTTTGCCCCAAATCAATCCTAACCAAACACTTTAGTTTAGCTAGATTTTTTTTTTGATATTTTTGTTCATAAACACAAAAATGATACACTATGAGGTTTTATTTAACCATTTGTGAACACAGAGCCATGGGACTGCAGTATATAGTATGTACCATATCCTCTTAATGTCATCTATCGTACCACATGCTCAGAGCAATTGGTCCTGTCCAACCAAGCCTTTTCATTCATTGTCGTATCTTAGTTTCTAAAAGGAAGTGCTCCTGGTGGCATGGATAGTAAACTTCAAGACTTATACAGAGATCACTATAAATTTGATAACTGATGTTCGATAGATAAGGTAATGTTGGGAATAAATGTAACCCATCTTTGAAATTTCCCCTTGTGGCTCGTGAAAACTGGTTACTGTTTTAATTGATCTAGGGTAAATGCCGCTTACCAAGGTTGCTTTATTTGGTGCAATGGTCTTTTATGAGCTCGTCCCATTGCTATGCTCTTCTTTTCTCTAACTTATTGGAGTTGTTACTTGTTACAGCTCTAGTTTCTCCATAAAAATGGTTCAGCCTTTTTATATTATGTTACCAGTTTGATATCTTGTTGAGCTTTTATGTCTCAAAGTCGATTTTTGCATGATCACCTTTAGACTTCTGGTATGACTGTATTTCAAGCTCAACTGCACTAATCTCTGATTTCACATCATAACAGGGAAATTTATGCATCTGAAATCACGACATTGAATCTCATTGATATCAAACTGACAGCGCTGGGGATGCTGCTTGGCTTCAGCGTAACCTCATATCACAAATTGCTTACCATGATATATTTCTAACTATGATTTTTCAGTTTTTGTGGTCTGTCCTGGACAAAACTCCAATTTTGTTTTTTCTCATTTCTTGTTGATATTCCTTTGACAACTGAAAACAGCTTTTAAATTTTCGAAATTGTCTCATTTTAAAACATTGTAAACAGATCCGTAATATTTGTTACCATATGATTCAATTATCCTTTTGCAACATAGTTTTCCTACAAATGTTTATTGACAGTTAAATCCATCTTGACTTGTTTGACATAACTTATAAGATCTCATCATCCGTAATTCCGTAGAATAATATGAACTTTGTTTACGTGGCATGGAACGAAAATGATATGTATATTTCTATTAAGCTCTGTTTGTTTTGAAGAAAAAATTTGAAAGGGAAATTGATAAATTGAGCCAAAAACACACTTAACGAAACGCCTATCTTTTGGCGAAAATAATTGGGTGAGTCGGACTCACTGTGGGTCTAATATGTCTGACATTAATAATATAATATCTTACATTATTAGATCATTAATGTCATATATTAGATTATTAAGGTCAAATGTAAGATATTAGATTATTAATGTCAGATATTAGATTATTAAGGTTAGACATATTGGACTCACGGTGAGTTCAATTTCACGTAAAATGTTATCAATAATCTATCAGATTTGACACTCAATTTTCAAATTGAATTGAGGCATCTTAATTACAAGCGGAATAAAAATGTCTATTCTTTTTTTACTGGTTTAGCTTGTTGATTGGTGGATGGGACTAAGAAGAGTAAGAACGAGGATAAAAATGATGGTTTATAGAGGGAAAATGGGGAATGAAAAAAACCCTTAAAACGGTGTAGTTTGATAGGGGTGTAGGCAGTAATAGGTAGACTATAGAGCAGACTAAAAATTGTAGTCGATCATATGTAAGAAAGGATCGGAGGAAGGAGTTTGGGCCAAGCGCTAATCAATATAATATAATTACGCATTGTTGCAAACCCTAATTGTCAAAATTTTCTCTCTTTCCCCTTGCTGGACGGTTGTCTATATTCCCTAAAGAGGAAGGAGTTCGTCCATTCGTTCTTATCATCCAACTAGCTTTGGTGGATGTTCAAAATGCTTGTGGATTGAGTAGAGAAACAATATTTGGGGCTCTATTTCTCCATGATTCCTAGTCAAAATATTCGTGGAAATCATGTGTCAAAGATATTATTGCTTATTATTATATTATCCTCTAATTGTTATGCATGTGATCTTGATTGGGTGCGAATAATATGATTCATGAAATTTCGCAATATAGTACTTAATTCCTTATAATCATGTCCATTGTTCCTCCACCAACCGATCTTGGTTGAAAACCTCTCGAGACCCCACCATCCAACCAACGAGGAAAGAGGACAGAGAAATGGGTCGGGGTGGGGGAAAGCAGGGTCGGGATAGATCAGATGAAAGTAGATTTGGGGACTAGGTCGGGGTGGGGATAGGGGAGACATGGAAAGGGGTGTGGATCAGGGTGACCAAGGTCGAAGGTGATTAGCAAAGACCGACAAGAAAGGAAGGTCTGGGTTGGGGTTATGGGTGAGGGACGACGTTGTCCAATGGTGGTTAGCGAAGGGGGGTTTGGCCAGTGAGGGATGAGATGGTATGGTGAGAAGGTTATTTATACTTTTATTTTCTTAAAAAAAAATATTTTTAAAACATATTTTAATTGTTGAAAAAAATTCTAACCAATCCCAAGTGTAATACCCTGGAAATTTCCTTCCTTTAAAATACTCCTTTTACTCTAAATAAAACCCCTTTTAGGAAATAACCAAAAATTACCGCCACCGTGATGACGGCTAAGGCTAATTTTCAAAGTCACACAGCGGAAGTCTAAAAACAAAAAACCAACTTTTAAAAAAAATAAAACTTGAGTTCACAACCTCAAAATAAATGTAGAATAAAACAATCACAAGTTGGAACCAATTTAAACCCCCTTCTTAAAAACCAATTAAAAACAAATATAATATTGTTAGTCCATAAACAATAACCAATAATTCAAAAATATTAAAATTAAAAAACATAACAAGTAACTCTCTGCACTTTATCCCATCATGCTCTTCATGCTTCATGTACCAGTTACTTCCTCTTTATTTCAACTCTCTACTCACCATATAAATGGGTCATAGTAGGGTCAACCCAAAAGAAAGCCAAACATAAACACAAAAGTACAAATCAGCAAAGCTGAGTACATATGCACCATACTAACATGAATGTCCTAGCATCAAAATAAAAATAATAATTAAAACATGCTCGCCACACAATCACAAGTCAACTTATCTTTGACTCATAACTAACAATATTAATTATAAATAATAATTTTGGATTACGCATCGAATGGGTTTCCTTCCTTGAAAATAGCTCATTTAAATATTGAGCTTCCAATCAGGGAGCTACCCCAATTGGCACCTACTATGTCACCTTGTGACGGAATTCCAGTGCATTAATAATAAAAGAAAGTACAACGTCTTGTACCCCAGTAGAAGCTATGCTTAAATATAAAACCCCATAACTCCCCCCATATGTTCATACTCAATGTATATACATTCCAAGAGTTTTGGTGCGTATCCTCTTACACTTTACGCGATTTACAAATTTAACTTGTGATGACTCAAACCAATCAATCAAGAATAAACATAGCAACACTCAATACATACTTCCAAATCATTCTTGAATCAAATAGTGAGCACATACTATTTATTTTAATTAAGGTTCCTTGCCTAGTTTTGTGCACAAAATTGCACGATTACTACCTTGGTGCATAAAATGCACTACTAAACTTCCTTGACGCAAACTCAACTTACATGAGTGAGTAAATAAATGAATTAACTTCTTGACTAAACACCAATAATAAATGGGTGGGAGATAAATTTATGAATCTATAAATAACCTTGCTTATTAAATACATGCCTTCTTGATACTTGAAAATAAAACATACTTCCATGATTCATACATATTCAACTTATATCATGCCTCAAATAACATATTCACATGCTTGCATAACAATCATGCTCAACCAACATCAATTTCAAGCATATAATCAACCAAACATGCTACTAAATCATCACTTAAATCATACTTTATGAATCCTAGCATGATACTACGCATACACAAATATTCTTGTGCACATACGTACCTTGAATAATGCCTAAATTCGGCCACACTCGCTAGAAATTACCTAGCTCAAAGCTTCCTACAAATAAGAATACATAGCTATAATTAATCCACTATTCTCACAAATTTCCAACAACTATAATAATCTTTAAACCTTACTAATTAACCCAATTTAATGACATAAAAGCCATAAAACCTTTTTTTTAAGTGGGTACTTCAAATCCAATAAAAAAGACTTAATTTTTATGACTTACATAAATTCCACCATACTTATTTAATATAAAACATCACTAATAGACTAGAAAATCATATTTAAATCATTAAAACCTTTTTCCCTTTTATGGTTAATCAAATCCTAACTCAATAATTAAAAAATAGTGTGCATAGATAAATTTCAGCATTAATTTGAGGGCTTTAAACTCATTAAAAACATGTTTAAACCATAAATTAAACAACAACAACCTAGGATCAAACCCTAACCATAAACATTTTATTCCCAAATCCTAGGGTTTGTAAATTAGGGTTTTTGATTGAATAAAAATCTGAAAATTATATAAATAATTTAACAACATCAAATACCCAAAATCAATACCAAAACATAATCAAAATCATGTTTTAAATTAATAAAAACAATAGAATTAAATTAGGAAGAGAAAAAGTTTTTTTTTTTTATACTACCATTCCGCAAAAGAGGAGAGAGAAGGAGGGGCTGGCGCACGGCGGTGCGCCGACTGCTGTTGCTAGCCGCCGGTGGTCACTGGTGGCTGGTGGTGGTGTCGGTGGCTGTCGGCGTGAAGGGAGGAGAGAGAGGCGTGGGGAAGAGAGGGAAAAAGAAGAGGAAAAAAAAGAGGAAAAATAAGGAGAGAAAGGAGAGAGAAAATAAAGAGAAAAACTTTGAAATTTTTTTTATGAAATCTGACAATTATGATTTTAGAGTGAAAAATCTGAGGTTTTGAAGTATTTATACTCCCTTTTTAAAACAAAAACTCATAATTACAAAACTGCCATTATTAAATCCTACTCCCCCTTGACTTCTTCCTTTGAGGCCAATTTATAGAGCTCTTAAGTGTCCTCAATCTCCCAACAAGTTGATCCAACTATTTAAATAAAGATTACCTAATTCTAAACACTTTTATTGTCTCAATTAATGACCCATATTATTTTATGCACACTTACATAATATTTAAATAATTAATTTCTTTTAAAACAAAATAAATCATTTTAAACTATAAAATAAATAATAAATTAAATAAATAATTTATATATATATATATATAAATATTATAAAATACGGAGTATCACACCAACGTGACACATGTTCAATATAGCCTGGTTAACAAGTGAATGGTTTCTTATTCTATTTTTGAATATATTTTTGTCAAATGTCGTTTTAGTTAGAAAAAATTGAAATATAGTTTTATTTTTAGAAGACCAGTCAAATATCTTATTATTCATGTTAATTTTTCCTTAACCTATAAATTTCTTTTGAAGAAAAGCCAATTTGTCATTATATGTTATAAATATTTAGACCTTTTGTTTCTCAACTAAGATTAAAAAAAAAAAAAAAAAACCTTCTTATTCTATAGTTGGTGTGTCTTAGTTAAAAGTGTTATCAGGAAAAAAAAAAGTAAAGAATAAGTAAGATATTGGATAGCATCCTACATGTTCGAGACCCTACGTATTACAAGTGTGATAGATCCTTTTATATCTTAATTCATGCATTTCATGTTTACCACAAAAAATAATAATGCTGGTAGAAGGCAGAAAGCAAAAGCGCAGCAAAGTTCTAGATTCTTACGTGAACATCGTAAAACAATTTGGATCAATCGAGACGCTAGGTAGTTAGTTTTCACTAATTGTTACTAATATTTGCTAATTTTCAGTGTATTATATATAGATTAGTATAGTATATTCAATCAATCAAAGTTGACTATATGAACCAAATTTAATTATTCCGTGTAATCATCGACAAAGATACTCCCAAAAACTGATTTTATGCTTCAAACAAAAACTTTAGGGCATGTTTGACATTGTTTTGTTTTTAGTTCTCTAATTTATTTGAAAACAAAACACCAAAAAATAGGAAACAAGAAAAAGATGATGTCATTTTTCAAAATTATCATGGTTTTAATAAATTTAACCAATTCATGAATCATGATTCATTATATGTCGTACTTCCTTCGTTTTTATTTACATGACACGTTTAATTTAAGCACACACTTTAAAGAGAAGAGAGAATATTAAATCAAGTGGGTAGACCGTGTACTTTAGCTTATTTAATCAAGTTTGTAGTGGGGTAAAAAAAAAAAGTTTCCCAAAATGCCAAAAAGGAATACGTTTCAACTAAATAAACTTCTCAAAAAAGAATATCGCTCAACTAAAAAAGAACGGAGGTAGTGTATTATATAATTGAAAAAACAAAAAACCAAAAAACAGAAAACCACTGCGATATGAAACGAGCCTTTTTAGTTTTGGTTGATTTACGACTTACAAATTTAAATTTTAACCACCCCTCCTTTTTAAGTATAAAATCAAAAGTTATGGGTAAAAATTTGAACAAAATTTACATGATTTTTGTGATTATAAATTACCAAAATAATCAAAGTAGGATGTGTGAATGTTATAGCATGTATTCTGTCAAGAAAAAAAATGTTGTAATAACATGTAACGACTGTTTTTATTTTATGACATTTATTTTTTACCTGGTAATATATACAACTAATACAAGTGTATATAGTGATTATCTCTTTTATTTCATGGTCTCCACACCCATGCTCATACCCTTTATGCTACGAAGTACGAGTATTGTTTATATTCTCTCACATCCTTAACTTTCAAACACCTCAAGCATAATATTTGAAACATAACTCAACCATCTTAAACTTCAGACAGGTTAAAGTGTTGCAATTTAATAAATGACAGAAGTAACTGATAGTAAATGGAGGAAGATTGACAGTGATAATACTAAATTTCAATTATTAGAAACAGGGTTTAATTCAATCGATAAAAATAAATATGTTCAATTAAAATAAGGAGAAGCAAACATCATTTTAAATTAGTCTCGTTTCAGTTCAACTTATAGTAATATTTACACCATTTTTCAATACGTGCAACATCTTGTACTAGTTATATATCAATTCTACTACATTTAATACTAACATACTTCCTCTGTTTTTCTAAGTATTAATCCAATGTCGTCATCGGATATTTTATCATCTTCTAACCCCACCTTATATAACCTTATCAAATTTAATAATACTACCAACAATTAGAATGGTCAAGAAAGTTCAGGACTTGTTACACTGCCTTGATAATCACTTGTATAAATAGAATTTCTCCTTATAAACCAATTCAAGTTGTCAAATACAGTAACAAAAAAGTTTAAATACGTTCACAACATTAACAAATTCTAGATTGTTTTCTCATAAGGCTCAAAATAATGTCATTGGAGAGCAATTTAGTAGAAAACATGAAGAACATCACTTGAAAATTGGGATCCATTTTATTGGGCAGCACAATCATGTCCTGTATTAAACAGCCCAGTAGATTGGAAAGAAACACCAGAGAATCATGTCTTTATGGTTGATCTTCCCGGTGTTACGAAAGAGGATGTCAAGATAGTGGTTGATCAAGGAAGGGTCCTCCAAATAAGTGGGGATAGAGGTGGTGCCTCTGATCACCGGGAGGTGGGTTCTGAGGCTGCCAAAGACGGGGATAAATGGCACCGGATTGAGCGAAGCAGGGGTAAGTTCTGTAGGAGATTCCAACTGCCACAGAATGCTGAAGCTGATGAAGTTAAGGCTAATATGGAGAATGGTGTGCTTAAGGTGATTATTCCTAAACAAGAGATGAAGAAGCCTGAAAAGAAGGTTATTGAGATTGAGGAGAAATAATGAGATGACACTATAAGGTCTTACTTCGTTTGAAATCAATAATGGTTAAAGTTATGCATTGTAGAGTATATGAGTAATTGAATAAAGATGCTGATGTATTGTGATATTACTGATATATAATGTGTTGAGTGTTTGAGTTTTTGTGTTAAGTGAATACTTCCAATTGATTTGATATAATCTTCTCAAGTTTTAATTTTGAATTGCTCTGTAGCTTGATAACATTACAATTCAGGCTTTTCACATCAATTGCATATATATCAGTTGGTAAAGTAATGTTGATGTTACATATAAACTGCAAATATATGATTACTCCATCAAAAATAATTTCACATTGAAACTTCAAAGTATGATTTTAATTTTTAACCATCAGTGTAAAAACTAATATCTTCGCAAAGACTAATTGATTAATAGTTTTCAAAGGACATGAGATGGTTTCGAGTTGCTTCCAAGATAGGAAGTTTAACCTTTGTTGGAGGAAGGCTTGTGGCACCATAACTTTTTCGAGGATCAAAGACAAGGTATGTAATGTGATTGTTGTGATTCTCATCGTCGCTTTCTTCAAGAAAATACAGGCGTTGCCCTGCACCATACCCCTCAAGGAGTTGGTATGATCTTTCAGTTTGTTCCATTGTCAGGCAAAAGTCTTCAGTACCTGTTGTAATATTCAACATATTAAAAATACATCCCACTGTACAATTAATATAGTAATGCAACATAGTACTCCAGGAGGGAAAGGGACATGTCTTCGGCCAAGGATGGTGGCGACAGTTGGGGTGGAGGCAGAGGTGGTGGGGAGGGGAATCAGGGGGAAATGCAGGAGAATGTGTCATGTGTGCCCCTTTTAACAGATTAAACAAGGAGTTGATGTAAGAACTTACAGGCAGCAAGCTCCAACTGAGTTTGATAGATGAAATTCAGGACAGTAGAGAGCTCTTGTTCAAACTGATGAAAAGGCCCCCCTTCAAAATTCAGCTTTCGAAGCTTGCACAAACTCTCTCCCATCTCCATCATTGCACCCTTGTGATTCTGCATGCCCACTTTGTTTCTTAATTTTAGCCAGTCAAAATTCAACTGTAACCTGTTAGTTTACGTACTCTGTACGTCTAGAATTTATATCACATACTATTTCATTTGTATACTTATTTAGGGTGTCTGAATATAGTAATGGTTTATGAATAGATTTACCGATATGCTGGAACACAAACTAAGTGGATCACATAGGTAACAAATGAAAAGAAATGAACCAACAAAAGGGTATGATTGTCAAAACTTGTCATACAGGAGTTGGGACAATATGAAAACTAATTTCAATTAGAGGGAGTTAATAAATCACTATGTTTCCTGTCAAAATAAATAAATAAAAAATAAATAAATAAAAAAAATCACAACGTTTTATCTTCGAAAATCAGAATAAGTTGCTTAAACTACTTGGGGGTCACCGTCTGTAAATATTTTAGCGGGATGTGCAAGTTAATTTCTGAACAATAAGAGCCATGTTCTATACTTTGATTAAGTTATAGAGCACATTTTCTGTGAATGAGCAAGATTAATTTTTTTTTTTCTTAATAATTGCGATTTAAATTTTAAAAGGAGATTTTTTTATTAATGTTCTATACTTTGATTAAGAAGACGCAACCCACCTGGTTAAAGAGGTGATAGAAAGCAACAGCACATTGGAGGAGGGCATGAAGAAGGGTACGAAGAGGGTCGTATGATTCAAACCAAAGAGATTCAAGCAAGTCGTGGCATGCATAGTATTCCCTTCCATTGAACAGCTTCACTGCTTCTTCAAACCTCGAAAAATGATCGGAGCTAGAGTCAAGACTTGATTCTTCTTCCTCCTCGAAGGAGATGGAACGGTAGGATCTTGGCAGATGCCTTTTACCTCTTCCAGCATGGGGTATGTTGCATTTGATCAACCCAGTGACAGGTATATTAGGATTGTGAACATTCCAACTGCAGGTAATGAGACAACGTAGATGGTGAGAAGAAAAGGGTAGTAAACCAGGAGAGGCAAAAGCTCGTCGATGCTGTACACACAGCATTGCTTAGGTCCTGATTTCCTTCTGTCTCCTCTCTTCCTTGCTGACCACAAAATGGGATATTTCATGGGAGCATTTGTGGTGAGACCAAAGGCAGATATAGACACAAGACAGATATTTTATATGCTAGTTGCGTTAACTACTAGTAATACTACAAGAAGCCAATTAAGACGATATAACAAAGGACTGAGGATTTGAATACAAGAACACTATAATATCGACATTTACTGTTCAAAATCGTTTTACACAACCTTGTGATATTACGACATAATTACATCATAAACACATTTTATAAAACTACAGTATAATTGCGGCAAGACCAGATATTCATTTCAAACTTGAACAACAGACTACACATTAAACGAATAATAAAAATGCACCACCTCACAAGTAACAATGACATCAAGAATGACCCTTAGCTTATTGATATCAATGGATTTCTGCAGGGAATCGATTCCAAAAAGAATACAATAACAAGCATAGTATCTGCCGACACTCAAGAGGAGGAGCTCCCAGGATTTGATGGGTTAAAAGGAACTTGTTCAGCACAGGTGAGCGTTTCACTGGACCCTGCTTCTTCTCGGCCAACACCCAACAAGTCAAGGTAGTAAAGGTAGTGAGACATGATGTTGTTCATATCATCGACATCACCCTTCCCACAAACACCATCTCCATACAATATATTCATGGTGGCTCCAAAGCCAGGGACACGCTTAGACAAAGTATCGTTCTTGGTAGGCTTCCAATCACCAACAAAAGCCTGGTGTGCTGATGGTTGTCCCTTCTTCAATGGTGTCATCCACTTCCAAATTGCAGCAGTGAAGGCAAGAGTTGCATTCTGCTCGATGTACTCTGGATGATTCAGCAAATCCTCCTTAAGTGCCTCACCTGCAGCTCCATAGTTGTAGTTCCTAGAAAAAGAGCATCAGCAATTAATAATATTTTCCATTTCATATAATATATACGCTGATTATACTACCTTCTTTTAACATAGTCATTGATCATAATCATATGATCTCAGAGAGTCAAGCAAGATATCCAATTAAAAAAAAAATCTAACATTTCTAATTATCACTTGAATCTTTACTTCACCTGAATGATCTAAACTTGTCACCCATTCAACGATCTAAACTGAGCCTTTTGGCCAATAACTCGTCATTAAATAAAGCATTGATTTTGTATTTGGGGAGGGGACTAGGGAGAGATGATAAGGTATAGCTAAAATTAAGCTTTAATTAATAGTAAGAGGAAACAATATCAGCATGTCTAAATATCTAGTGTAACGGTAGAAGACACATGTCAGATCTAACAGAAGATCACAGGTTAGAGCATGCACACAAACAGTCCTCTAAACACTCGTGGAAGATCAAACTGATAATAATTGGTAAATTCATAGTTCAAATAGATTTCACCACTAAAAGTCGCACAAGGCAGCGTGACAAAGGGGTAAGCAACAAAATTAATGTGGCAATTTACACATACCAGTAAATGGGTATAGCCCCTCGGCCATAGTATTCAGCTCCAGGTGCGCAGGGGTAAGTATACTTGTAACTGTCATCACAGTATGATTGGCTTGGGCTCATTTCCCTTTTATAGCAAAGTCCCCAAGCAAATGGTCCACCAGTGGCAACTCCATAGCCGCCTGATACACACAAAATCATTTTAAGCCTCATACGATCAAAGACAATGCAAAATTTCCAGCAAAAACCATTGTATTTCAACCAGCCTCATTACAAACAGAATATGGATATCAAATAGATCATTCAGGAAATTCCCAAACCACGCAACACACAGAATGAAAGTCAACATCAACTTAATATAATCAAATAATATAGCACAATTAGGAACCTCACGAAGATTGGAGACATACTCGGCAAAAATTAGCTTGGAATCACGGTATCCAGACCAATTCTGACCATCCTATATACAACAATTCGTCGCTTTAGCTAAATCGAGTAGCAATTGAAGCAACTACAATGTTATAATCCATCAATATGCTCAAGTACACAGATAAAAACACCAAAGTAGTTCTAGCACAATCAATGTTCCAAAAACAGTAATTTAACAATCTACATTTATAATTATAATTTAATCAAACCCTACACCTTACAACCTCTCAACAACATAACTCTTCTTCAAAAATCAACAAACCCAACAATGATACATTATAACCAAAGATCATCATCCAAAAACATTTACAGATCATAAAATTATATCAAAACAGAAACCATAATTCAATAAACTCATCAATTAAACCAAATAAAAACAAAAAATTCAACAAAATCAATCAATAAAAGCCAAATTAAACTCAACAAATAAACAAAAAGATTGAGAAATTACATGAAGTTTTGCTGCCGACATGACCAAGAAAAGCAGCAAGCTCCCTCATACCCATAAGTTTACCACCAGTAGTACAAAACCCAAGATGTTGAAACAACGAAGAAGCAGTAATAAAGGATTGATAATCCCAGAAATAGGCAGCATGAGCTTCTGGAAGATTCCTTTTGGCAAACAAATTCTCAAATTGGTAAGTTTGAAAGAAATCCGAAATTGTCTCATTACAACAGTACTTAGACCATGTGCCACACTCCCATCCTCTAGTACAAACCTTCTTCCCCTTCACCTTCTTGACCTTCGTCTCCTCGGACATATCCGCCATCGCTAAACCCGCCATTAACACTACCGCCAACAACACCACCCACACCGCCGACACTTTCCATGCCGACATCTTCGCGAAAATTGAAATGATACACAAAGTTGCGAGGTGGGATATATGAATTAAAAAGGAAGAGAGAGAAAATGATGGATTAACAGAGAATTGAATTGATTGCTTTAAATGGGTGTTTTGGATCTTGAGTAGGGTGGAAGGGAAGAGAGGAGAGAGAGTGAATGTGTGTGTGTTTAAGAAGGAAGGAATTGGGAGGTGGGCTATGGTTGTCGAAGTAGGAGAGAGAAAGAGGAATGTGGGGTCAGAGTGAATAAGATTGGAGATTGGATAGAGCTCAACGGTGGAGATTTGAGTTGGTGGGTTTATTGAGTTTAGCTTTAAAGACAGGCTGGTTGAGTTTTGAGTAATGTAATGCGAAGGCGACGACTCAACTCCTTAGCACCGACAGCCAGCTCCACAGTTGTTTATGCTTAACTATACCTAATTAGTAATTTCAAGTGTTTGATTAGTGTAATGTTATATTTTTTTTATGAAGGTCACATGTTATTGATGTATTTGACTTTATATAGGAGGAACTCCTTTAATCTCTATTTTTTTTTACCTTATTGTGAATTTATAGGTCAAGCTTTAAGAACTTTGATAAAATTCCCCTTAATTTATAAGAAATAATATTGTGATGAGGATCTTGTTAGATACGTCTCATTGTATTCTCCTTCTGTCACAACAACCGTTGAGAGCAACCTTGTATGCTCCTAGTCGGCGGTGGCGGATCCAGGATTTTAAACTATGGATAACATTTAACAATAAAAAAAGGAAAAATTGTCAATAATAATACAACTTTTGGCCCGTTCTTTTTAAAAAATACAACCTTTGTTTATACATGAAAATTACAGCCTTTGAAGGTCTCAATTTTAAACAAGCCAAAAAAACTTGTAACCGGCTAAACAAGTTGTCCATGACACGTGTCGTCATATAATTGGTCTAAATTGATACTTTTTTATTTTTTTAAAAAATGATATTTCTTTTATTAAAAAAAAGGCCCCAACCCCCGATCAGCAACCCACGCCCAACCCCCTCCCGACTCATCGAACACCATACCCAACCCCTTGAAAGGAATGGTGTCCTTCCAACAAGTGTATTCTTCCGATAGAGGGTTCAGAATTATTATAGAGTTAATTCTTCAGTAAGATCAAGTGATCGGAATGCCTAGGTGGAGGCCGCTTCCGATCAGTAATATAGAGGTACAATTGATATTACAGCTTAATCTTAACTGAACCCTTCGGGTCGAACCCAATCGAATCACCGATCCGAGACGACGAATTAATCCGAAAGGATTTAATGAGTCGACAGAGTTTTACGAATACAGACGTCGGATATCGAGCCTAGGGCGTCGAGACCGAGCGTCGCAAAATCACAAGCGACAAGTACGAGTGTAGCTGTAGCACCACAATGGTCTAACCATGTGGATGATAGGCTAGTTCGAGCTAGCATGCACCTAGCATGGCTAGGCGCAAGCCTAAGCACACTAGGTGTGCTAGGCGCACCATCGCAGCCCTAGCATCATGCCTAGGCGCTATCGCAGCCCTAGCATGATGCCTAGGCACCATCGCAAGCACTAGGCAGCCCATCGAATCATCACAGCACAAGCACAACACCATCGCATGGCTAGGCCAGTGCGCGTGTGCGTGTGCTTGTGCCTTATCCTATCGCATCAACACAGCAAGCATGGTTGCGCACATGCGTGCCTGGGTGCTAGGCACCATCGCAGGCCCCTCGCACAAGCACAACACCATGGTAGGCCCTATGTGCGTGTGCTAAGAAGGCATAGCAGCAGCATCATGCGAGTGGTGCGAGGCTGATGCGAGGACAGTGCGTGATGCGTGGTGCGATGCGTGGTGCATGGTGCAAGGCCAGTGCGCATGATGCGAGGCAAAGGGGCCAGCATGCGTGGCTCGCTAGCAGCACGCATGCTGGCCATGCTAGCAATGGTGCGAGAGATGCTGCGAGAGATGCGAAGGCCAGCACCAGCGCCTAGCACTGGGCAGCACCAGCGCCTAGCATTGCCCAGCACCAAGCATGCGAGGCTGATGGGCAGGCTGGCGCTAGCTGGCTGGGCTGGCTGGCACTGCTAGCTGGCAGCAGCCCAGCAGCACTTGTTTGAGCCGGTTTTGCATGTGGGGACCATTGCTTGGAGCAATGGCTTGGGGATCAAGGCAATGCATGGTCCCCCCCAAGCCTTTGGTCCTCACTTGGCTTTCTCTATTATTGTGCCATGTGTCGATTTGTGATTGAATTGATTAATCATTTAATTTTGGAATTAAATAATTATCATTTCACCAACTCTCCTACATTGATGGGAGATTGAAAACCAAGGATTCATTTCCTTATAAATACCCTTTAAGGGTGTTAGGAAATGAACAACCTTGAGTGGAATTAATAAGG